AAACCGCTGTACAAGGTCCCTCCATCGGCCTGGGCAAACATTTGCATCAGCATTTCTGAAGCCTGCTGAGTGTCTCTTTAATTGGCCGTGAGGAGCTCAACCGCTTAGCCTTTTGAGATCATTGAGATTTTGATGTGAGATTTGCATGGTGCATGAAAAGAGGGCCATTTGCATGACGAAAGGGGGGAGGGTGACTCGCTTAATGACATTCAAACATTTAGTGTGTGGAGCCAGGAGGAGGAGAATTAGATTTGAGCGGCGTCACAGGTCTCTTTTCTTTTTATAGCTTCTTCTTGATTCCTTTATCACTCTGATCATTGCCTTTTCACCCGTTGTAGAATAATTCCCGCTGATGGCACAGTCAAAAGATCCATCGTACAAATCCCACCTTTTTAAGCTTTGAATGTTTCTGAGATAAACTATAAATGATTACTTTTCATCTCTAAGGTGTTCAGATATGAGTGGGGTATTCGTCACCTGGCTGCTTTACAACCATTCAGAAGCAGAGACTTGGACTGGCATCTCGAGGGAAATGAATATGCAGGAGCGATGTCACAAAACAGGCCCAAGGTGGGTCAATTTAGTGGGATGGTATAGAAGCAGTCATCTGCTTTATGAATAGGCAATTGAAATGCGGTAATCCTCATTGTGATAGTCATGAGGAGAAATCAGGGTATTTATCAATAAAACCACCCAAATCCTCTGTTTTGAAAACACACATTCATAGCTTAGTCCTGTGTTTGTCTACCCAGTGTTTTTGCAGGCGTGATGACCCACAAGTGGAGTGTTTTTTTTCACTTGAGAAGAGAGCCAGCACTTCACCTATTAGTGGCGCGTTTGTTTTGGTAATTTATCAGACAAGAGTTAATGAGGGGAGTGGGAGGGGGGGGGGGGGGGGGCTGCCTTTGGGCTGCAAAGCACAGAAGAAGAAGAGGCATCGGAAAACATTTGACAGAATCAGGTTTATTGCCAAGCAGGTTTACACATACATGAATTTGCTACAGTGTACAATAAACACAGTGAGAGGAATTAAGCTGTTAATAGGAGCAAATACAGAATTAATACGAAAACCGTTATTTTATTGTTGTGCTTACACGTTTGTATATATTTTTTTGCATTTATAAAGTTGCTTTGAAAATGTATAGGCCTGCACGATTTGGTTGGATGTTGGTTATTTTTACAGATATAGCAACATGATATAATTGACGATCTGATATCATTGATGATATTGGAGATTATTTATTTTTCTTTAATATTTAATAATTAAGAGGATCTGTAACAAATGTGGTGTTTTGCTCAGTCTATATAATACTATTTGTAGGCCAGTAAATCTATGCTTAACAACATTACTTAATTTAAAATGTTATTTTGCATATTTGGCACTTAACAAATATTGTGCTTCCTGGAAATTGAATATTGCACTACTCCATATTGCAATTTCGTTACAATTTGGACTAAATGTGCAGCCCTAGTTCAGTATATCAGAATTTAAAGTGGAAAAGTTGTGCAGTTGTAAAAGAAAACAGAAATGTGCATATATATACAGAACAGGTGAGATTTAGACCTAATGAAAAGAGGAATAAGACAGGAAACACCAAGCTAGTGCAAAATATGTTTTAATGAAATATTCTCTAAAGTCTTGACATGTCAACATTCCCAGCACACTCTCCCCAATAAGCCTCAGTGCAGCACATACAGAAAGCATACAGGCTTCAGCACCATGGACAGCGACACCAATCAGCTGGTCAGCTCTCAGCAGCAATTTGTCATGAGGCCACACGGCTGCAGCTCAGGAGGCAGAGGGAACCCCTGCTGATACATCATTATAAGAAACGTTTCTTCTTCTTCATTTGTAACATAAATGAACTAAAAACATTGAATATTGGCTTCAGAGTCTCGATTCTTAGTTTTGGTTTCCTGTCAGAAATATTGAGGAAAAAAGCTAAATGTCAAGAAACCAGTGTTTTTATACGTGTTCAAATATGGGATGGGTTGGAATATCTTCTTTTGGCTGCAACAAATGATTATTTTCATTATTGATGATTTATTTTGGACAAGTAGAATTTTTTTTTAAATGACAAACCCCCAAGTAACACAAGTCCCAACCCGAGGGATAATTAGTTTACAATTATATAAAACGGCAAAGTCTCACTTTTAAGATAGTCTAAACTGAAACAGAATGAAGTAACAAGTTGAAACAAGTATTAAAAACGGATAACATCACCAACAAGACTTCATTTTCAATGTGTGGAACCTGTGATTTTCATTTTCCTGTGGACAAAATGTGCTTTCTTCGGTGTCCAACTTTAATGTATCTTTTAAACATTCAAACAAACGTACCGTAAATAAGAACTCAATAAGAGTCACTTATCTCCATTCTCCTGGACACACCACACACACACACACACACACACACACAAACACACACACACACACACACACACCCACACACACACACACACACACACACACACACACACACACACACACACCACACACACCACAACACACACACACACACCACACACACACACACACACACCCACACACACACACACACACCACACACACCACACACACACACACACACACCACACACACACACACACACACACACACACACACACAACACACACACCCACACACACACACACACACAGGTGCTTTAAAACATGTATGCCTTTCTCCAAAAAAAGCCTCTTCTTATAAATGGGAATGGAATAATACCATCTTCAGTGATACCCAGAAACAACTTACTCAAGTTCTTTAATATTTGATGAGCAGAAAAAGGCCTTTTCTCTCTGTGATCACGCTCTTGCCGAGTCATGAGGTAATATTTCACCGTGGGTCGATAGCAGGATCGTACAGAGTAACATTCATGTGTGTAATTTGGCCCACTGTGACCATTAGAGTGACTGAATGTAAAATATATTTCACTTTAATGTAATACCAAAAGCAATAACCTCAGTGTAATAACCTTTTCTAAACAACAAAAGTGCATTGCCGAATTAGTTTCTAAGGGAAACATATGTTCTCCTGGATTACAGTTGCAATTTCAAACATGTGGTTAATGTTGAGACTAAATGCTTGGTTAGGTGTAACATGTATCTTTAAGGCAAATGTGTATATCAAATGATTGAGATCCACTGTCTATATGTCCATCATGAAGGAAATGTGTGACATCTCTAACTTAAACTTCTGAACAGTTTCCTCAATATTTCTTACGACAAACATTTCCAAAGTAAACATAGAGTATAGCATGTATTCTTTAAGTAGGATAAACACTGTGTCTTTGAGTGCTTCCTCGATGAAAAATGGCCCAGTTTGCCAGCACAGCTATTATTATGTATGAGCAACATTTATTCGTGAAAATGTGAGATGGTTATATTACCATTTCATTCAGTCTTTGTGCTTGGCCAGTTCCTCTCATCCATCCATCCATCCATCTTCTCCCGCGTATCCGTGGACGGGTCGCGGGGGTAGCAGTTCCAGCAGAGAGCCCCAAACTTTATTTTCCCTGGCCACATCAACCAGCTCTGACTGGGGGATCCCAAGGCGCTCCCAGGCCAGTGAAGAGATATAATCCCTCCACCTGGTCCTAGGTCTACCCCTTGGTCTCTTCCCAGCTGGACGTGCCTGGAACACCTTCCTATAGGCGCCCAGGTGGCATCCTAACTTGGTGCCCGAACCACCTCAACTGGCTCAGTTCCTCTCAACCCTCATCAATCCTTATAGTGGCCCAAATCATAGAACAGTAAAACAGAAAATGTACCTAAAAGTTAACCGCTACTAGGCACATATCACGAATTCTACGCAGGAGGAAATGATCCAAGTCCAGGCAAGAGTCGTTTTGCTCCATGTATTTCCACGTTGCAATATCCACCAAACTAAAGTATGAACAGGTTTTTTATTCCTTTGCTGAAGCATTTCCTTTGGCTTTCCTGAATCACAATGGTAAAAAAACATATGCCTACGAGTGCTCTGCTCCCACCACCTGTCTCCAATATATACATTTACACCAGGTTACTCAATCACCAGATGCCCAAAGATGCGTTCAAAAATAAAAGCATACAATTACTTTCACCAACTTAAATAATATCACTAAATAATAAAACATATACACAAAGGTCGCTGCAGAAACTTACATCACATCTGCTTCATTATATCAGTCCAATGTTTAATGAGTTTGTGAGTTAATTTGTAGCAAATGACTTCATATCATTATTTGTATCAAGAACTTTGAAGGTATATGCAGCGAAGCATACCGCACCTGACCAGGCCAACACAAATACAACAAAACAAACAATGGTTTCTCTCTGACAGGTAAGACAACTATATAAAACATAAAACCCCATCAAACAAAGTGAACTAGGTAAAACAGAAGTAACAAATAAAAAGAGACCTATAAAATAAATAAAACAATATAAAGGTAGGTAAATAATAAAGACTAAAAGAACATTTAAAGTGGGGGGTTGCTAATCTAAAAAGATGTGTCTAGCTGTCGTTTAAAAATGTCCACTGAGTTGATAATAAACAGAGAGACTTCTTCCAAAACGTCTCTGGAGGAATCAGGAATAAATGCAACTGTTGGAAGAACCCAAATAACACTTTGGTCCCGGCAGAGACCATCTGTGTGAGGGGAGAAGGTGAGCTTCTTTATCATCTCTGGAAAGAACATCTAAAAGCGATACCTTATTGATCTATGACAAGGAAATGATTTTACATATTTTTTTTACAAATGTTGAAAATATATTTTATTTAGTTTGTATACCAAATGTCATCTCTGATTTTTCTTTTTATCTAAGGCAGCCCAAAATCATTTTCACATGCATTATAGTAAAACTCCCCAACGTGCACACTTACAAATGAACACTGTTATAAATAAACTGTTGTTGTTAATATAAGTCTTTTATTATTATATGTCCACACTGAGGGGGGAAATAATTGCACAGCTGCAACTTAAGACTCCACACGAACCCCTCCGCCTGCTCCGACAATGGTCTTTTCCAGCTCCGCTTATCACAGCAGAATTTGTAACATGCCATAATTTCTTACCCGGTGTGTGTTCTCCCCGGAAATCAAATGTCATTACCCGACGCGGCTAATTTGGCGTTTCCTCCGGCTCTTTTGTTTCGGACCATGCCCTCGGCGGGGACCAGCCGCACCTTCTCTACCGGATCCTCGGCGTCGCTGCTGCTGCTGCTGCTGTTCGCCCCGAAGAAGCCTCCTAGGATTGTCCGCTTGATGCTTTAGCTCGCTGGGACTGCAGTTGTCATTGATCCGCTGCCGGAGCCTGCTCTCATAGTAGAGGAATACATTGTGAGTATGCACACTGTTGCCGCTGGCATTGCGGTGACCTATATTGCCCTGCCTCCCGCAGCTCAAGGTGATTTTCCGCGGTGACATCCTCACACTCTGGGGTGATGATGGGGGGATTGTTGCGCGGTGTTTCATATCGTGTGTGAGTTGACATTGTGAGGGCTCTGCAGGGGGAAGAAATACGGCTGGCTGTCACACAGAGTGCAGAGACAGAGGATAGAGTTGAAGGGGGGGGGGGGGGGGGGGGGGG